CGTTGCAATGCACTTCACTTTACAATAAACACGTCCGCTCAGTTCGACCGCTCGCACGAGAATGCAAAATTCTGGATCGCGCTGTTTCCGATTTACGAATATTTTGCGGCAAATTTGATAAGAACCAATGGTTAACTAAATAAATCTGTCAGGGTCCAATCGTCATCCAGCAGGCTGTCAGCCACCAATCACAAAAACCTGTCAGGCCGGAAGTGATGTCACGTTGCTAATATCCCCATTCTAGTTTCACCCCCATGGGGGAAACCACTGTGTCGCTTCGGTCTCTGTCTCTGTGTAGTTAGGATATTCCATTTTGTGGGATATTCTGTGTCTATGGTATTCACGTTCATAATTAATTAGGTTAATTGGGACTCCAAGCGTTTAAAATACACTTATCAAATAATAACAATGGTATAATTATTTCATTTTTGAATATTTTTTAGTTATTGGCCCTTTATTTTTCAAATTTTAGTATTCTGTATTATATAAAAAAGAAAATGCTCATGAAGAGAGCATTTGGAGTTGTGCTTGGGGAAGAGCTACAAACGATAGAAAGAAAAAAATCAATGATCAAAATGGTGAAGAAGAAAATTCTAGGTAAGTTTTAAAGAAGTTCCTTACATAAAAAAATATTAGAGTGGCAATGAAGGTAATATATTTTACGTTATATTGTAAACTGTTTATAGATCTAATAGCAATTTCCATTGAGAAAACTGGTGCACACTGAGTGCACCATCGACGTTCCATTGGTCAAGTCGGTGCAAATTTTCAAATTCCATTGGAAAACTAGAGCAACAGTTCTTGCTCTGATTGCATATTATTTGTTTTTATCAAGTAGTCGTAGTGATGATGATGAAATGTATGTTATACCAGTTATACCCAAACAACTGCCGAAAGTGGCAAGGATTCATTGAAAATGTCGTCTACAAACTTAAATAAGTGGTCCGTTTCGTCTACACAATGTAACTTCCTCGTCGTTTATTTTAAATTTCAAATTTAATTCTTGGTTCATTGTAACTACCTTCTTTGAAAAACTTCTACTGGTGAACTGTTACTTTGACCGAATAAAAATCAAAACATAAACATAACCAATAATGTCAGAAACCCATGCAAAAATTGTCATTCCATTGAGATTGCACCAGAGCATATTTCTCATACAACCAGTGGAGTGTCAGTGCTGTCCGAGTGCAGCCCCAGTTTTCCCCAATGGAAATCGCTATAAATCAACCATTTACTTTGGCATTTTTTAGTTGGGGATATATGGAAGCCTTACAGTCTTTGTTATTTCTCGTAGGTATTAACAATAATAATGTACGTTAACTACATGACCATTCATTCCCATAAAAATTTATGACAATCTTGCGATATCTTAAAGATTATGAATATTTCTTGGTGATTATTAGGAGATCCTTGTGATGTCTTTCAGATTATGGGAATTTTTGTACGATTTTGCAACTTCTCTTCAAAACACAAGGCTTTTAGAAATTTCAATACTTATCAAAATTTTCACTGATTTTTTAAGAACTTAGCAATAGTTATTGTATTAAAGTTTACAAGACAAAGCAAGAAAATTTTTTATTTACTCTAAAAAATTACAATTCGGTGACTTCGCACACACTTTATACCAAGTGAATCATTAACAAAAAATGCAAAGACGATTGTTATATACATTTAAGTGCCTGAGAAATATATTAGATGTAGGACAGATAAAAATAATATAGGGGACTGTGGAGATATTTAATTTGGTTTTAGGGGACGTGTACAAATTACATAACAGCATTTATTTCAATATTTGACCCCTCACACCCCACATAAGAGACCATAAGTTTTGCAGAACCCTATTTTTCACAGTGACATATTAGTGGTGTAATTTTGACAAAAAACTATTTCAGTTCATAAATATTTATTTAATATAATCTGCAAGATTAACACAAGTCAAAAAATATTTGTTTAATTACTGGTTGGGATAACAACGAATTATATCTGCACAATTTATTTCTGCAATGTTATCTAGGTACATCTTTTTTCCTAACTTTTTTTCTTGAAAACATCAAATTCAAAATTCTTTGTTTTATTAATAAAAGATGATGCAAATGATTTGCTTGCTTTAATATTACTGCCTTCAGCATTACCATTATAATTTTCCATACTAACAAAGTTAGTTAGTTTCATCTTTTCGCAATGCAGGGGTCGCCCAAATACTGAATTCCATGTACGCACATTTTTTATTTTGTCAGATTCGTACGACACTCGTATGTTGAACATTTAAAAAATAAAGTAAACAATTATTCTTAGCACATTTTATTAGTAAATTACATTACATAGTTGAAATTATCATTCACTGTATTGCATTGTATTTTTAGTAAAAAATAAATAAAAGATCGTATTTCAAAAACAAATAAAAAGTTATATGTATTATGTTACTTATGTTTTTTTTTGGAGTGAAAAATTTTGAAGCAAGGTATTATACAAAGACCAAGGTTACATAGATCACATTGGTATCAGAATTCAGACCTTTTTTCTCGCGTACAGCACATCTTTTCACCATTAGATGTGGGTGTGGGTTTAGGTACTCTCCTAATAAAATGTCTCAATGGGTGCTCACCTGGCCTGTGGCATAGTAAAGCAGTAGGAGATTCCATGGAAGCATATTTTTTGAAAAGTTGCTTAGCCATTTCTAGCTGAAAATCAGAAATTGATGATTGTTTGATGAAAAAAAAAAAGTTTTTTATACCTACCACTTCACCATCCTTATTGATTCTATTGAACTAATTAACATGTCCGATGGATCAACCCCACCCATGTTATAATTATATTCTGCAATACATGCTGGCTTCATTAGAGTTCGGCAAGTCTCTTTATCAATTTTTGAAGTTGCATCATTTCAAAATCATGCATTGTAGTTATAAATATTTCGCGGTTGTCATACCATTTTATAACCACTGGACCACTACTATGAAATGTCATTTCCTCTTTTCTAAACTTCTCATCTAATTTTGGCATATACTTTCTATTTCGTTTTATAGTACTACAGGCATAAGTCATGTTATCCTGTAACAAGAAGTAGAGTGTTGGGCTATTATACTAATTGTCGAAATATAGACCATGGTTTTTCTGTAAATATGCTTTCATCAATGTCACGACAATTTGCCCTGATTTTCCAATTGTCTCTTGGTCTCTTTGCAGGGAATAGACTCATTTAGTGTGATGTCACATATTTAGGCAACCTGCAACAAATTGTCATAGTTGAAATTGTACAGACCGAGTCTAACCCTTGTGTACTATTTACATAGATACTATAAAAATGAACACCTTCAAATGAATTTATTTTTACGCCCGTGTTTTATAAAATAGATACACTAATCTGTTAAAATTTACAAGAAACGATATAATACAATATTCCTAAATTTAAATAAAGTAAAAATTTAACATTAGCCGTATTATTCCGTATGTGCATACTCGGAAACAATAGCACCATACACAGGTAAGGTCTTGTTCATAATATCATCGCTGTCATCATTAGCTTATTTTCTCTTCTTTAGTTTAATCTTGGCATTTTCTAGTTCTACTAATTGTAAGTATTTTTATTGTTTTTCATGTTGCTGTGCTGTGTCAGTGTGTTTATCGAGTCTTTTTTCTCTTCAAGTTGTTTATTATAGATGCACTCTTAACCAATACCAAACTTTTCTTGAATGATATCCTGTCGCGAGTCTACTTCGCTTACATGAAATTTTCTTTAAAGCGCATGCTCAGTAACATGGATATAATTTTAATTTATTAATTACTATAAAAGTTAATGTTGTTGTTAAATACATAAATTCTATAATTCTTTTAATTTGGGGATTGAAACTTCTTAAATATTTAAGATCAAGATAAAGAAGTATTTTTTTTGGCACTTACGTCCAAAGTACTTAAGGTCGAAAGTCGATCTAGTAAAAATATTGAGAAAAATTTTTCCATGACAATCAGCCCTATGCTGTAAAAACATTGAAATTAATTTCAACCTTGAAGTGATTTCAATGAAAATTGATTTGTTCTTCAATTTTGGAGAAAATTGATATGCACTAAGAACATTTGATTACAAAACTGACATTAAAATTGATTGAAATTTATTTCAACTTTGCTTGTGGCAACGTCGCTATTTGCTATAGGGAGATACCGGTGACTATGGAAAACATATACATATATGAACAGAAACGGTGACATCAGTCAAAAATTTTGATTATAGGATTCTTAATCATCAGTTTTGTTATTCTGAATTTATTAATTGTATATAAACGGTAAGTATCACAACATAAAATTAACAAAACAATTCCTAACTTATTTGTTACTTTTAAATAGAGGTGAATGCAATGGGAGGAGCAGTGAAAAATGCAGAAGGATGGAAAAAGGTAAGGAAAGTCCCAAATAAGTAAGCACTAGGCTTATGTTTATTTACCAGTCAACAAAATATTTTGCTTGTAAGCATACTTATCAGTTATTGCTCTTTGTATAAATCGTATTATAATGGGGTCATTTTCTATATGCGAAATAAGGAATAATATTTATAATTCTAGAAAATATATTACATGAAAATAATATTCAGTGTGATTTAACATCGCTAGCACTTATAAATGAGTTACAAAATGTAATTGAATTTCAATATGGATTTTAAATGTTTCTGTAATGTGACGTCACGATTTAGAACTAAATCTTGGGGTGTTTAACACTGTCATCGTGGTAGGCGGTAGTGGTAGCGGTAACAGCAAGAGGAAGAGAATAATGGCGATTGCTTGTTGACAGCGATATTTGTTACTGTGACCCGTTTTATTTTTGTAAATTTTTTTTTAATATGGAACCTAATTTTGCCCAAGCCTAATAGTGAAAAGAGTGACCGCAAAATCCGCCTGTTTTTGCGTACTGTGTAGCAAGAACGGGGAAGGTTGTACAGAGGTCTCCGTGGGGTTAAATTGATCGTCATGAAAAATCTAGGTGAGCATAATTCGATTTTTCCAATATTTGCCTGATTTACCCCTACTTAAGGGGTGGAAACCACCCCTAAAACAAGAAAAATGAGAAAATAGTCGATAAATTTTTGGTAAAATTGGGGGAATTTCATACGGCAAGGGTAAAATCAGGAATGTCCTTCTAAAAATGCTCATGATAAACCCACCCCGCGCGTGGGGGTAAAACAAAAGATCGAATTATGGGGCCCGTCTTTCATTCATTTGTCAGGTAGTGGGGGAAACAAAGTACTTCATGAAGTGGATATCATTCCCCGTCTGCTATCGGCAATAGGGGTGATTTTAATCCCCCCACGCGGGAGGTGTTTTTCACCTTGAGCATTTTTAGGAGGGCATTCTTAATGTTACCCAAGGACATTTAAATAAAGGGGACATATTTATTTACATTTCTAGATGAAGCCTGGTCTATTCACAGTCTAATTGTATCATTGTTGTCAGCTGTATAATTATACTGGAAATGTACTTAATATTTTTATCGCAATTTTCATCACAATTGTGAAAATTATTATTATAAGATAGTATTATTAAGTTATGCATACAATATTGTTAAATTCTGTACATATTAAACTATTTTTCATTTTTCATATTTGCCATGTTTGAAGACAGTGGCGGCCCGTGGGTTAGAATACAGGGGGGGCGCATTTTGAAAAGAGGACGTACATAATAAGAGGTGCGGGGCGTGTGGGGGCACAGGCGAAAAATTTTAAGGAATTTGAAGGTCATTGTGTTTTGTAACTAGGTCCCCCAAAATGAATACTGTCGGTGTGTACAGTAGCTACTTAGATACAATGCGAGAAATAAAATTCCAACGTGTGGGGGCTGAAGTGGATAATCGATCAACCAACCCA